TTGAGTAATTTTAAGGACTATTCTGTGTTCATTTGTGCTGCATGATTACTGTATTTACATATTGTTTTTTAGCAAGTATGCTTATCAGTAAAAATTTTACGAAGTATGTTAAAAATCAACTCTTATTTATTTCAGTTGTTTGTTTACTTTTATAATGCATAAAAATAGCTTTTGTAAAGCGAAGATAGGAATAGTGTCATATTATAGCAGTAGTCTGAAATAAACTATACAACAAACAGCCTGTTATTGGTTCAGTTTGTATGTTTGCTGATAATCTCATTGCAAATAGGTATTTGTTGTTTTTTTTTATCACCTTAACTATCTGAGATAACCGTGGTTTATCAGACTAGTATTGATACTGGGTGATGATTGAAGGTGAAATGAAAACTTGAACTGCAACCGGGTTCGAACCAGCGAACACCGAGTTTTTGGTTCGACACTCTACCAGCTGAGCTACTGGGGATTACTTTTCATAGCCTAGTCGGTATATTTTTTCGCCTATCCTACAGGTGGAATTTCAGTGGCTCAGTTACACTGTCTTACTTTATGCATCAGTGGCTAGATTATCTGCTTCGTTTAACAGCAATAATCTGATGCTAATAGACACTTGTAAAGCATAAAAATGAAAGTACTATCATTGTATTGACTTCTGTGGCTCAATGTACAGGTAGACATTGTAGCCAGGTAGTAATTTTGATTAAGATCCTTCTACTTAAATCGATGTCGTTTACTCTCAAAGTATCAGTCTGTATTGAATAAAAATGACACGTCGAACACTTAACATTTCATTAAATATCCCCAGAACATATTGTATTCTGTTTATTTGGATATCTATTGAACTAAACTACTTTAGAGGCTGTATTGTCTTGTTAATGTTTTGCAGTTTTCATATTTTTTTTATTCTTGAGACTGTGACACTGACCACTACAACGAAAAATAGTCGTGCACATAATCCTGGTTGGTCTGTGTATCTTTCTTTCTGCAGGGTTGTGTGTATCCTTTAGAGCTCAGTCTATTTCAATTTTACTTCAGGTTGGGTACGTCAGTGTCTATGCTCCACTTCAAGTTGACAGACAACAGAAATCACTGCCATCAATCACAACTAATTGAATCAAAAGAATACAAGTAGTCATAGTTGACAGATCAATGCACATGTATATGTCTCATTATTTCCTCATTCGAGTTACTTGAAGGAGTGTTACCATCATCATCATAACATATTTGAAATAAAATGCAGAATTGATCTTTAGTGTTTCCCTTACTTGTGAGTAGTATCTTTTTTCCCTATCTCTTGTTTGTTGACTTTTAAAAAATCAGGATGCTGGTCACTTCTGTCGCATTTTAGTCGAAGTAATCAGTTTTGATCTATTCTGATAAATAATCTCGTTAATTCCTTTTTACTTTAAAGAAAAAAGCGAATTATTTCGAACAATTTTTCTAAGAGGGGGCTTCGAAACTTCTCACCTTTGCTTTGACTTTATTTACCCATCAAATATATCTCTAAGCCTTTCCGTGTACGTATTGTACGTAGGATTGAATGCTGACACTTATTATAGAGTTATGATTGGTCGGTTTTGATACTTCACTTTTAACTTGTGGATTACGGGTTCGAACCTGGCCCTACCTACTGGGGTTTGGGTAGCCAGATAGTATCATTAGGCTCCACACAGGTGAAGTTCACTGCCTACTGTATGAACATATATACGTTCAGTAAGTTCCAACTGAACCTTCAAAATAAGCATTTCGAGGGTAACTTTTTCTTCGTAGAAAATTTATTGCGAATTGTTGATTTATCTTTCTGTATATGTGTACGTTTTCCCACAGCAACAACTTGTTATTGCCAACCTCTCTATCCCCCACTAAAATACATATACGCGCATTTTCTTTAGTGTTGTTGTGCGTTGAACTGATCGATCGTGGTTAGTGTTCCACTATTGTATTGTATTAAATAAACAAGTTGCCAAAAAAAATATTTTGTCTTTGTTGTAAATTAACGATTTATTGATACTGAGTATTTACTTTGTGCTGCCTGGATTAGGCTGTTCTGTAGTGTTTTTTTTATCAGTTATCTTAATATGAAATATAACTCCATTTTAGATAAGTTTATCTGAAATAACACACAGCTAGATTACGTCTCGAGCACTATTAATTACTCACTGCCATATCTAGACGATCATACAACTTCTAACATCTAGTTTTGTAGTTCTGTCATTCGTCACTCTTTGGTTCCAATGGTCATAGGATTTTCTACATATTTTGATTGCGTTATTCTCTTTCTGTTGTATGTATTTGGTGTTGATTTAATGGGAAAATATTCCGTAATTCATGCCTCTCTCTGTGCACCTGTGTCGATTAATCTTCAGATTGTTACTCTATCCTAACCAATTGTTTGACTTTGTCTCTGAGTGACAATGATAATTTTCATTTGGGTTAGGGTTAGGTTCACGTCTCAAACATTCTCAACTTGGCACTCAAGGTTGTCCAGTACACTGCAAGTTGTCAGCGTCTTCAACGAAGAGGACTATATTATTTGCGTACTCTCGATCCACTAAGGATTCTCTTGTAATTAGTTAGATCTGTTTGAAGTCAGATGAGAGGCGGAAGATCTGCATAAGAACACCTATGACAAAATTGAACAGGAATAGTAAGAGCGAATATTCTTGGGGAACACTACTTGATGTACACGGCTCATCTGATGAGTCACCACAGGCTCTAATATCCCGATGGCTGTTCGAGTAAAGATCATCGAATTTTCTCTGCTATCGTATTCTTTATAGTTATGGAATGCGTTACTACGTGCTACTTTGCCTAGACAACGTCTAGTATAATTCATATGTTGTATTTCAGTGGTTGAGTGTTAAACGCTTTGACTGGTTGTTTTTTAGTGAATTTATTTCATGTAACGTATGTTTTGTTGAAGCTGTTTCCTTATTACTATCAACGTAGGAGATGAAATTTTTATGTTTCAGCAATTTTACACATTTCATGAAGACTTATCGAAACCAAATCTCGCTAATGAAGTTATCAGCTCATAATAATAATTTGCTGAAGTGTGTGTGAAGTGGTCATCTGACAGTTGAAAATTGTGGATCACAGCTCTGTTATCGGTGTTTTTTTTTTTTTTTGTGTAAGCCAAGAGAAATGTTCTTCTCCTAACAAATTAAATTTTCGTAGAGTGCAGTTTCAATCTACTCATAGTCAAATACTATTCAAATAATGATTATTGGGCATTTTGTGATCATTCTGTCAATTGGATTTACAAAATACATTTTTCTAAGGAAATTGTGAAGTCAGAACTATATACCTTATTGGTTCTTTTCTTCAAACAGTATTCAAGTTAATTGATGTAAACTTGTATTGAGAAAAAACCAAGTTAGACCTGAAGACGAATACTCAACGATGATATTGAATGATGGTTGCATCATCTCGCAAATCGAAAAAAAGTAAGAAAATGTAGGATCATTGGGTTTCGACCGAATAGCACTGTGCTCACCGCGTAGCCTAAAGGTCCTGGGTTCGATACCTGACGGAGTTATAGGTGCCCGCCGATAGGGATCCCCATAATAGGATAGAAAAGCTGTCCAGTGCTTCCAGGTACTTAGTCATTCTCCAATTGACGTCAGTCGGTGGTGAATATCACTTTGGAAACATTCGCTTGTTGAGCTTTTCTTGAGTAGGCGAAACTATTACATAACAGTACATAACTGTCATCTCATATTCATTGACCTTCAACATCATTGGTTATTTCTAGATAACCGTTTGCTTAACCCAATATCCTTACCATACATTAGTGTATTCATAAAAGAATCATGGAAAGGCGGGAAAATGTGACAGTTGTATCATCTGTTGTTGTCAAGTAGTATCAATCGCATGTGGTTAATTTCTTGCACTGGGGGTTTTAGAAATGATTTCAGTATTTGTTTCAGAGTATTACCTTTTCAAAAGAAACAAGTCTTGAGACAGCATTTGACGTTTACAAAAACTACTTCTTACAGAATATCAAACGTCATAGTCAGTGGTAAAATTGATTCAGCACCCTTATAGTTATTCTATATGTTATAGAGTGGTTTATTGCCTGTAAAAGATCGTGGAAAAAAAAGCTTGAAATCCCTTGGAAACTTTCATAACCAATTATCGTAAACCGAAAGTTCTTGAGAAGCTAAATAATCATATCTATATGCTTCGAATTTGGTTAGTAAAACTCAATCGATAGAAATCGTTCTTCTTGAAAAGCGTGGAACATCAAAATCTTCATTACATTTTGTACATATTTTGACTTTACAATAAACCTTTTATCGTTTTACCGATTCTTTTTTTTTGAGGAATCAAGTGAACTTTAAGAGTGTAGTGCAAAAGCTGTTGTTCAAGAGTTCAAATGTATTTTATTTAGTTGCAAGTATGCGATTGTCGTTTCAGTCAATGATCATCACAGTAAGCTTATAGGTTCACTGTAGACAGTGAATGTCTTATCTATAAATATAAACATGGCTAGGGTAATAAATTGCTGTTTAGTTAACAACCTGTATCTTATAGTAAGTTGAAAAAATCATCCATTTGAAGACTTAAGTTTCCCATTAGTTTTACTACTAGATTACACTGCTGTAAAGCATTTTTCCCATTTATCATGATGGTCTGTGTTCTATAAAAATGACATATTGCAAAGTCTCAAGAATTCATTGTCAGTCAAGAATTTGTATTGCTTTTCAAAAAATTGTCTTTTAATCACTAGCTGCACCTGATTAAGGCTTATTCATATAGATATCGCGTATTTTACCAATCTAAAACAGAATATGTTTTTGTACTATTGAAGAAAAAGATACCGTATACCAACAAAGATCCTATTCAATTCACTAATACAGCTATCATGTTTCATAACACTCATTCTTATTACTTAATGTATTGTTTTTATATATTTTATTTTCACAATTATTATTAATTTATTTTCGTTTTAACCTTCTGTGTATGTGTGTGTGTGTGTGTATTTTCTTACATTCTGCTAGCTGATGAAAATGTGCCAGTTCATCAGCATCATTCATTGGATTTAGATGTACAGCGAAAATTAACTGATTACAATCCTTCAATAAAGCCAACATATCTTTCATCGAATATGGGACAAACACTGCATACACCATCACTTTCACAATCTTGTAATATATCATCTATGCTAAATCATGTAAACCTTCACCAATCACAACAACAAGAACAACATGATACTGTTGAATTGGAAAAATCAAATCAATTCTTGGAAAGATTACATTATCATTTAGTCTCAAAATATAATGATCGTTTAACAAATGAACAAATACAAGCAATGATTGCATTACTTAAAATAATTAGTCAGTCTAAGCGACAGATAAAGAAAATATCATCACAATCCAGTGGTTTTGAAGAGGTAATTGTTTAGTACTTTTGATTTCGTTCCCCTTTTTCTAAACTTCAACGTGTTGTGTTGCTTTGATTTGAGATTAATGTGGATTTTATTTTTCAGGTAGTATTCATCACGGACTGACATCTGTTGGGGGGTACCATTAATGGACACCTGTCTCGTCCTACTATGGGACTCCTCAACAGTACACACCTATCCCCAACACCTTCAGGTTTCACAGCGAACCTATTGAACATTCAACCACTGCGTCGGTGTTCAGTGGTTCATTAGTTTCCTACTTTTGTCAATTCGTGAGATAGCGCGATTATTCTCCAAGGTCTTCAGTGGACATCCGCTTCACTTCCGGTTGGTTAACTCCACAGGTCACTGCTTGTGTTTCTTGCTAATATCATTTTCTTTCTCAATTATAAACAGATAGGAGTATATGTGTGTCAGTTAAGATGAACATTTCTGATGGTAAAACTATCTCACATCTTATAAAGCTCTTTAGAATATAAAACTCAACACTGAGAACAGTAAATCATTATTTTGTCTGAATATCATATATCTAACGATCAAGAATTTGGCCAATAGTTTATTACTACTAAGGCTTAAAATATCAACAATTTAGTAACAGCTATGCATTGGTCATACTCAGATATGTACAAGCATTTGAAGCGGCATTCCGAGTAAACGTCAGTGATTCGACTTTGCTGTCTAACCCTTGCTAACCAAAGTGAAGCTTGAACCTATGACCTGTTTTTTGAAAGTCATTTATCTACATGTATCTACACCACAAGACAACAGCGTTATTTAATAACTTATTCATTAAAACAAAATGTATGATAGCTTGTAGATTTATGTCCATTCTACAGTTTGTGGAATAACGTTTCATTAGTTGTCTATTATTGATTTGTGTTTTGCTTCTGATTTCTTGTTGTTATCATTATTAGTTTTACTGATTGTACACGCTTAGAGATTACTGATGGAGAGACCTTGCCGTTTTGAGTTTATCGCTGGTGTACTACTTAGTGAAGATTTTGGTGTATTGTTGGCTCAGATTGCACCGACCATTGCACTTGCATGAAATTTTGCATAAGCTTCAATAGTCTGTTTGTTGAAGCAGTCTTAACTGGGATACAGAAGAGCCGTTTCTTTTACGTCTACCATTTTATGCCATGTATGACATCGGCGAGATATTCAGCTACATATTTACGGACAAGTATGTTATGCACCAATTCACTCTATTCTATTGCATGACTTTGAGAGGGTTACTGAAAGTAGAAAATTTATAGAGGTTGATATTTTGAACTTTTTCAGTAACCTTCATCTATTCGTTCCCTCTCGTCTCATCAACTTTAACGTCATTCTTTTTATCTTTGTTTCTTCGTCTCATACTGAAATACATTGTGGTAACTTCACCTGATATATTTATGCACTGGATTCTACGTTGATTTGTTTGTTGGCCTCTCGGCTTAAACATTTGATTCTGTAGTTGTGGCAACCGAGTTTAAATTCATTTTGACCTAGATCAGTTACAACAGCTGAGTAGTTTCATGAACTCTGCCAGTATATATGAATCATATCCTAGTACATGAATATGTATCAGGTCAAGTTGGACTGTGACACATTAAATTTTTGCGCGCTTTACTGAATTTTTTAAAATAAGATATTTAGCGTTTGTTTTTATAGGTAGAGGTTGATCATTATTTTCGACCATACCATTTGTATGGTCTTATTTGCATAAACTTCTTTTCAAGCATTTTTCTGATATTTTCGTTTACCCAAGATATTTGTTCGTTTAGCTAACATATGTGTCGGTCTCTCTTTCTCTCCTAACGTAAGGATAGCACTTCGATTCATGAGTTTCTAATGATTACTTGTATTATGTCCTACTACAGTGAACAAATAATTTGTCAAAAGATCATGTCTCTCACAGTCTAGTTTTTCTCAGCTGTCCCATTGTAATTCAATGTATTACTATCTGTTGAAAGGGAAAATTCAATACCTTATTAGTTGTTAACAGCAACAACTTTCTCTACTATCTTCAGTAAATCATTGTGTTTTGTCTTCGAATCAAAAAAATTCTTGCTTGTAACATTTATATCCTAATGCGTTGCTTAGTTACATGCATTTATCATTATGTAAATTTTGAAAAAGCATTCAGACTAGCAGAATATCATCGCCTTTGTTCAATACTTAATGATGAATCGGTCTTTAGTTTTTGTAAATAAACGGGAAGTATTGTCGTACTACTAACAATTTATCAGTAGTATGAACATAATGAAGTGTATCCTTCGTTCTTCAAGGTTGAATTTGTTATGGAATTAAATTAGCGTTATGTGAAAATAAGTTTTAAAACTTCACAGCTTTGAATGAATTAAGACAATCTTGTTAGTGTGTGGCAACGTTATTAAGTTATAGTTAGCGTTATAAAAAGATTGAAATGGAAAGGAAACAGACGTCGAAACAACTGCATCAGAACTATCATTTCAGTGCTGCGTCATCCGACATCTAAAATATGACTGTTTACCAAGTCTTGTTTTCACTGAGGTTAATGGTTATTGTGGGTGATTATCGCTTATTGACTGCTAGTCAGCAGATCATTATAAAATATAAGGTTATTTTATCAAGACGTTAGGATTCAGTGGTTGAACATGACAGTCGATCACAGTGACACATATGCATTCACTCCTTAACTTGCCATAAGTAGTGTACATATTATGTGTTCGCATATATGTTTTGCCTTCTATTCATGTAATTCCCTTTATTTATTTCTCCATCGCTATTGGTTCTCTATCTTTCTCACTGTTCCATTCTGAATAACAACAATTTGGAATGGTCCACTTTTGTGCAAACTCTTACATCATTCTATCTGTGTATCTCATTTTCTGCAATGATCTGTTTATGCATAGACTGAACTGGTATCATGGATTTCACTGTATGTCTACACACTTTGGTGCAAAAGAAGTTTATATTTTAGGACTGACATCAGTTAGAGGAACATTAGAAACCTGGGAGCACTAGGCAGCTATTTCGTTCTAGCATGAGACTCCTCAGCCTTGCGCACCTAAGACTTTTAAATTCTTTGATCAGCAGATTACCACTGAACCACTGGGTTGAACTCTAATCGTTCATATTTACTACTTCTGCCAGTTCATGATATACCGCAACCTACATCCAATGTTATCGTTGAGTAACTGTCCTCATGTTCTACTTGTTTGACTCCATGATAAATTCCAACCTAAAATCAATTCATAAACCTCTAGATAGAAGTTTATATTATTTCGGTTCGTTGTACTAAGTTCCCTAATGTTTTGTTGATGTAACATTTTAAGTGTTGATTGTGAATAGATGCAATGAAATCTATCACCTTACCGCATTAAGTAATGCCCTATTCAGTAATTCTAAGAAAGAAATAGGCAAAGTTTATTTTCTACGCATTATATGTGTGTATTGATGTATTGTTTTTAACACGCCATAAGAAAAAAAAAAGAAGCTAATTCTGAAATATTAATTGAAGTGGATGGAAGTCATTGAAGCTTAAAATTGGAAGGAATATATAAAGTTACGTGTGTGTGTGTGTGTATTTGCTAAGTTGAAAGAGAAACTGAAATAACTCATTACTTTAAATATCTCTTCTTACTAATCACATAAAAGTGAATGTAATTATGCGTACGTGTTAAGACATCTTGATTTCATTGAAGGATATAGGATGTCGAGTCTACAAAATATATAACAAACATTCTACTATTTATACATTTACTCGAATTCTATGCCAAAATTTTGACTTTTGATTTGAATTTCACTAAATGTACTTGGGTTTTTTTAAAATTTCTACTAATCATATTCATATACTACAACTAGTATACTTTTAATGTGTTTTTGAATAGTTTATTTTAACTTTAGTTACATCATTCTCAGTATTATTAGTAATATTGAACTATGATCCGTTGTACAAAAGGTGGCTACCGTTCCTCTGTGGCATAGTGGATGACGCCTTGGTGTTTGAAGCGATGCGTACGAGGTTCGAGTCTCAGTGGGGGGACAACATCACTGGGGTGCAGGTACATCGATCTGACGAGTCTTAAATAGGACGAGATACGCCTCTTAGGTTCTTGTGCTAACTACAACTAACGAAATTATTTCAAATATGATAGGTTTAATGTTTATTCACAGTAGGAATGAACAAAAGAGTTTCACTATACTGGAGTAGGTTATCGGCAATAATACATGGTATTGGAGATCATTGGAATTTTAAAGAGTATCCGAAATTAACTGTGGTTTGGCAGACTTTTATTAATACTGGATAATGACTAAAGATGAAATGAAAATTTAAGCCATGAGAAGATTTGAACCAGTGGGTCTTGTAGCTCTCGTTTGATAGATGATCTAGCTGACACCTGACACTTCGTTTATTCGATTCCTGCTGCGACCGATATTATCATTTCATCTTCAATCCGTATCAGAAATGTCAGTAATTCATAAACTTTTAAATTTTTAGACTTAGTCACGTTTTAAAGGACCACAGATTTTTTGATTTGCGTCTTTAAAGTATAGCGCAAGTTAAATAGTGTGTTTGATTGGTAAACGGATATTCTGTAAGTCTATGGTTTTCTAATTGAAATGTTCAACCGTTGATTTCTGTTATAATCACTTATTATTTGGATATTTAGCATCTATTCTTTCGTTTATATTATAGTTGGAAGGTATGGGTACCGATTCACTATGTTACCAGTTTTTTTGTTGTGTTTATATTTTCTAAGCAATCAGTCATTGTCATTATATACAGATGTCTTTTTTGAGAAAAATCTTCATGAAAACACGGATACCTTTCATGAGAGTGTAAATGTTAACTTTTACACTGTAATCCCTTCGTATTTATTCCGAAGTGTTGTATTCATTACTCTATGAAAGGAGTTTGGGTATTGTAATAAAGTATGATTTCCATGTTAGAGCCTATGGTGAGTTGTCCAGGGAGCTATACTCATCAAGTGGTGTCCGTCAAGGATGCCCACTATCCCCAT